CATGCAAAAGATCAGCTTTCTCATCTAAGTAGGAAAAATATTGCCCTGTTTAAAAAGAAATAGAAAGGGGGAGAAATGATGAGAACCAGTATTTTTTCATTTGCACTGAAAGCTTTCATATTTCACAAGGGTATTTGATTAACGTAGATAAATGCATAAATATACCACTGTGTGGAGGTTGATATAAGTATAATAAAAGCATCACATATCTCAATGTCATAGTTTGAAAATTTTGCACCTCTGAAGATAAATTAGACTTGTGTGGAATGCACAGATGATGCACACAATAATAAGATAATATTTTGTTGATCTGAGTTCCCAGTTATTGGATAATTTAGTTAGGGTGTCAAAGCAATTCATTGTGTCAAAAAAGCAGTAAATGTGAATAAGAAATGTCTTCTTATGTTGATTTTTATGCAAAGTATCTGAAGGACTTATTGCTTTAAGAATTTTTTAAAGTAAAAAAATTAGCAGAATGAAATGAGAATTTGTATTGATAACACCAATTTCTAAGGTATATTTACTGATAATATGCATTTAATTAATCTGGTTTTAAATCAAACTTCAAGCATTCTTGTCCTTTGTGCCCTTGTTCAAGAAAAATTACACTGGCCCTTTAGGCAAAGTAGGGTTTATACAACAGTACTCGATTTTGGAATATGAAGCAGGGCAAGTGGATAGGAATCCTACCCCGGAAACCTTCCCATGCTCTCTGTGTTTGTGGGTTTTTGTCTACAAATACCTCCTTTCCTTTTCTCACCATTTCTCCAGTTCATTTCATGCATCTGTGTAAATCATTGATGCCTGCAGTGTCCTTCAGTTTAACAAGGGCATTTTGATTTTTGGTTTTGAACTCCTACTGAATAATTTTCTCCTCCCTTGCAAATATGCAAGCGAGCACTGTATATTTGGGAATTCCCCTGTTCAGATTTTATACACATTCATCCTGGGCCTGCTGTGCAGTTAATGCCTTCTTCCCTTTTTTGAAAGGGTTAACTCTGGAAGCTCAAGCAGTGTAGCCCTCTTAGAGCACATGTGCCTGAGCTAGGTTTGCCTGGTATAGGTGTATCTTCTTTGTTATAATTCAGTACTACAACCCCCAGCTCCCTGGATTTGTCCAAAACCTCTGCAATGGAACTGTCATTTTAAGTCACCTCATCTTTTGCCATTCTAGGGTGGAGAACATATAAATTTCTGACTTCAGAGGGTGAAGTCCTGGATTTTCACCTACCTTGATTATGGAGTGACCAGCTGAGGTGGCTTCATCCATGTTTCTTACGCTCTCTGTTTGCATAGCCTCTTTAATGCCGTATACCTGCTGGGTTTGGAAACCCAACATGCTCAGGTGCCTTTGAATTTAGAGCAATATGGAATTATTTTTTTTATTTTGTAGGTATAAAATATTTGTTTCCAGTGATTTAATGGGACTGTAAAGCGTACTGAATACATAACTGGAGGAGAACCGATTAAGAGTTAATAACTTCCCTTGTGTGCAGTTTACATCTACGTATTTTATAGAGAGCTTAATGTTAATGCCAGGCTACTGGGTGTCTTCAGACATTTTTGTGAACTCAGAATATAATAGCTTATTTCCAATGAAATCAAGTGCACCCAAATTATCTGTTAGCATAAGAATCTGGTCTAGTATAGTCTGGTTAAATATTAATAAAAAAGACTTTTGCCATTGAGCATTTTTACCCATAATTTCTTTAATTACATGTTATTTGCATAATTTAACTGTAGACATCTGAACATTATGCTAGCTAAGTAAATTGTCATGTTTTACTGGAAGACTCTGCACAGTGTATTCTCAGAACTGTGTGCCAGCAGCTAACTGTTCAGTATTTAAATAAAAGAATCAAGGTTTTGCATTGAAAAGAGTATCAGAAATGAAACTACTACAAGAGGTTCTGTTATTGAAAGAGCAGTGTACTAATTATATGTACTCTTTAATACTCGCTGAGCCAGTAGCAGCATAAGTTTCACTCTTATTTGTAGATTGGTCAAGGAATATTAGCAATGTGTTTTGGGCATGTTTTATTTTTAATTCAATATCCTGTTTGCCAAAAAAGTAACCTTATGTAATTCCGTTTTTATGCGTGCATTTGAAGAAATGCTGTTAAAGAAATCCCATGTATCTTAGAGGTGTTCTTTATCAAGAGCAGTTATATATGGTGAAGATTAACTCTACAGCTCAAATAAGTACTTTAAACAAAGATTTTTTTTCTTAAACTACCAGAACATATCTTAGCTGTGAGATACCACCAAATCAGTTAATACAGCAAATCATTATCAGTGCAGAAGGGATGAGATTTCACAATAGCTTTTATATCTCTCACAGAAGAGCTAATGAATTTACTGTATCAGGATATTTCTGACTGCTGAATCAGAGCTAAATTCAAAGAGACCATCATTTAGATACATGATATGATCCCCTTATTTTAACTTTGACTTAAGGAACTGTTTTCTTGTGTACTGACTCAGAATTATTTTCTGAGTCAGTGAAAACGAGTCTTCAGATGAGTCCATTTGATGTAGCAACTCCTTAAGAAGAAACCCTTTTTTCCCTGCTCATGCAGTAGCCATTTATATTAACTGGAGTGCTCCTTTGTGGATAATACTTGACTGGCTTTATTTTCCACAGCGTACGAACGTATCTTAAATACTGAGGGAGTCAGTGTACACTTCTCTGTTCAAGGGTAATTCAAGCAAAGATGCGTGTGGTACATTCAGCTTGCTTAAACTGTACCTTGAGGATTTCATAGATTTCCTCAGTATTTTTTTAATAGGGACAGTGACCTTTCCTGCTCTTGTCATTTGACTTTTGGATTCACCGCTGCTTAAAACTGTGTTGCACAAGTGAAAGTGACTCAAAGAATGGATTAAACCTAATAATTTCTCTGCCTTATAATAGCTAATAGACCTTCAATTTATTTTAAGAGGTCCGTCCTCCTTTGGAAACATCCTTCCTATGCTCTTGACAATGAAAGAGGAGCAATTTGCCTACTTCTTTCTAATCTTTTCCTTCGTTTTCTCCCACTGTGGGAGAACAGAGTAGTAAAGATTTATTGTTGATGAGGTTTGTGTGATTTCTGTTTGGGGCAAAAGGGCACAGTTTGGCATTTGGAGGCATCCTTGCAGAAGCTTTTTCATCTGGAGTTGAATTTTAATCCAAACGACTGAATCACAGTTATACATGCTTTCTTTCTGAATATAGTTTTTACTATATACTGTTAAATCTTAAAAGGCCAGAAAATGAAAAATAATTTCTTTCTTTAGTCTCAGTAATTTGTGAGATATTTTTCTCACCCCATGATAATTTCTTTGCCTCCTGGGATGTCTATTTTTCCCTTAGCCAGGGATGTTGGCAAATGCTTTGTTATGCTGGGGAAAAAGTGTTCAGCCCTTAATATTTTATCGGTTACATTGGGTCAAAGGTGCCAACGGTTCTTTAAATGGCCACCAGTGTTTGAAGTCTTCAACCTCATCATATGGCAACATTATAAATTATGTATCATACTACGTGCTACTCAGTAAATATTTAAAATGATAGGTATTTTGGACTAAAATTACTTTTTCACTTGAAGAACGATTTAAGCCATATTTTTTGGTTTTATGCAGTGACAGTTTTACAATATCAAGGAATAGGTGGGTGCAGTTTGAATGTCAAGGGGCAGCAGGGCAACATGAATCACAGTTCCTGCCTGCCTGCTTGCCTTTCCCCCTACCCCCAAAGTGGGGTTTCCCATCTTACTTCTGGAGCATCATCATTGTCTACATTGTGTCATCTCCTCTTGCTCAGGTGTATCCATACTTACACCTTTCTAAAATCAGTGTTAATGATATTTTCTGGTATGCAGGGAATGAAATGACATCTGTTTTATTCCTTCATTTGCAAGTTGCTCTACTTGGGAAAATACATATAACAATCTATCTGTTGGGTTTATTTTACAAACAGCGTAGTGTCTTGGTTGGCTCTGGAGAAGGTGTATTGATGACTTGGAGAAGGAGTAGTCATGCAGCTGTCAGAAAACTGATTAGCACCAGGAAAAAGCATGCATCTTGGTAATACACAGCAGTGACACTTGCTGATGTTGCCCCTCCTTCCTGGGTTGTCAGTCTTCCTTGACTCATAAAGGCTTAGGTGTTTTACATACTAAAATGCATTCAATTTGAAAAGCAGCATGTGTACACATTCACAGACTTTACTGCTATTATCTTCCAGGCCTAAAAGCCCATAGGACTTGAAATATTTGAAAAATAAACTTTATAAATACTAAAACTGATTTTGAAGCTATAATTAATTTATTATTATGGCATATGCCTGATCCATACCACATCACATGATGTTTTATCCAAGGTTGAAGTCTCCCACTTGTAGTCC